AGTGGCGGATCCAGGATTTCAAGGAGGGAGTGAGAAAAATATTGTGGGGGGGGGGGGGGTCTGGGGGTCCTCCCACAGAAAATTTTGAAAATGTAGATCGCAGGAGATGGTATATGAGGCACTTTTGAGTACATGTACAGCCTTCATTCTGACTACGACAATTCTCCTTTAGTAGAACAATTTATTTTTTTAATATTGTTTCAAAATCTAGGGAGGGCAGCTGCCCCCCTAAAATGATTTTTTTTATTGATGTTGTGGACAAAAAAGTGACCCGGCGGTGACCTCTAGACGAAGGTCGCGGTCGCCGGATGGAGGTCGTGGTGGTGACCCTGCGGTGACCTCTAGACGAAGGTCGCCGGATGGAGGTCTCGGGGAGGAACGACGGAGAGATCGCGGGGACGGCGGAGGTCGGTCGGACGATCGCAGGATCGGGGTGGGCAGGGACGTGGAGAGGAGACGGCGAGAGGAAGGGCGTGATAGACATGGGAGGGATAGGAGAACAGAGGGTAGATCCGTCAGAGAGAGAGAAGAGAGAGAGAGAGAGTGTGTAACATTTGTTTTGCACGTGTTACATGGATTAGTCAGTGGAGCTAGACTGGTAGTTGTTTTAGCCATAGTCTAGCTAGACAGAGCGTCGCGCAACAAGATGCGCAGCTACATTGATGTATTAGGGAGAATGGTAGACGTGGTTAGGTTAGACAGATCAGAGGGTCATTGTGAAATGAGGGGTAGGACGCGGTCTGGGAGAACGGGTACATGTGCGTGGAGCCTGTGGTTTGTAGGAGTTTTGGGGGAATATATAGAGAGAGATGTGAGGGTAGAGAGGATTCGGATTCTGGTTCTGGTCGCAAAAGTATCTTCCTTGCGGTCGCGGTCCGCGCGACCGCGCGTGTGCGCGGGTCTTTGTCGGTGTGTAAGGAGATGTGATGTGTGTAAGATATTAAAGGTTATACAGTTTACCACACAAGTTCTGGATTTGGATCTACTTCATCATTTCTACGTGAACTTTCATTCCAACGTTACATTTTGGTTGCCGTGATAGTCCAAAACCTGGGTATCCCTTTGCGGGAAGTTATGCGCAAGTTATACTTTATTATATCGATCTACGAGCCAGCAACGCAACAGAGGAAGAATGACGGAGAGCGAGAGAGGGAGAGAAGGACGGAAAGAGCTAGTTCCGATGACGAGATGGGAGAGTATAGCCGAAAAACTATATCGATCTATGGGCCAGCAAAGAAACAGAGGAAGAATGACGGAGAGCGAGACAGGGAGAGAGGGACGGAAAGAGCGAGTTTTGATGATGAGATGGGAGCCAGGCTGCGCTAGCGCCGACGACGATGACGACGAGGATCGGCTGGAGATATTGGAGAAGGAGAACCGTTGTGGCCGCCGCGTCGGCAAGGTTGTCAACGGAGAGGAGAAGGACGAGAAAGGAAGAATAGATTCCGACGAAGAAAGAGAAGGATGCAGTCACACGAAAGGAACAAGAACGCAAGAGATGAACGAGAGGGAAATACTTAAAATGGGCATGTGAATCAATCTTGTGTCGGCATTTATTTCGTAATTAAAGTGAAAACGTTAGTTATAAACGTTAATACTCGAGGGTTTTTTCCTGCATACACCATGTAAGCATGCACCATACGTGTTTTTTTTTTTTATCCCTTATACCTGTTTTAGTTCAAAAGGTGCATGTTATGTTATATGTCGATGCGTATATACTTGCGGAGCGGAATAAAACNACACGAGAGGGAAGCCTTTTGGGGCTTGGCGCTGGCCCGTCTGTAATTAGGCTTGTTTTGCCCTCTGACTTAGAACAATGAAACTCTAGCCGCAGTATATAAAAAACTTCCTGAGTTTCCAAGTATTCAGTGGGTGCCTTTACGTGATTTTTAGCAAACCTGAAGGATTTTTTAGCCATTGTCGTCCATGTCGGCCTGATACTGGAATTTACAGATGCGTGCCATATGTCTGTCAGACATGTCAAATCAATCCATTAGTGAACTCAGCATTGGGCGCAAAATGCCCTCTTGTGTACAAGTTCAGCGCGCGAGGGTCATTTAAAACCAGATAGTAATGTTCCAATGTTTTCGTTATGTCGGCCATACTGGAATTCAAGACATCGGCTGCCATGATTGCGTTTGTCAGACACGTGCACCATCAATCATTTATTTGCAAGTCAGCATGTCAAATGTCTCTTTGTGTACCACAATTTTTCAGCCGCCGCAAGTCACTTGAAACCCCAAATAGTAATGTTCCAATGATTTCGTTCATGTGGCCATTAACTTGAATTCAAAATTGTGCCCATATGCGGTTTGTCAGACATTTTCAGAACTCAATCCATTATGAAGTCAGCATGTCCAAAATGCTCTTGTGACCACAACTTTCCAGCCGCCGCAGGTCATTTAAACCCAATATCAGTAATGTTCATTCTCGATGGGTGGCATGATTGGAATTCAAAATGGCTGCTGGGATCTATTGGTTTGTCAGGGCATTTCAAATCTAATCATTATTAAATCCTGCCATGTCGAAATGCCCTTGCTGGTACTAATTAGGCGGCGTTACACACGGGACGTTTTTGGCGCCCGACGCCTAAGTTAGGCCCGTGCCAAGATTTTGGCTCGAGGGCCGCAGCCGTTCGGTGACTGCTCGCCGCTAGTCGACGGCCCCAATAGTCCGAAAGCCACTAGTCCGAAATACCCACTTAGCTCCGATAAGCCCACTTAGTCCGAAAACATACCAGGGTGGGTATCTGCATCTATTTCTAAATTGTTAATTAATTAATTTATTTTTTAAATTAATTAAATTATCGATTGAATTTTCTACTGTTTTTTTAATTTAATTTTTAATTTTTTTTTTAAATTTTTTTTTTACATTTAAATGTCTAAAAGGAACCCACTAGTTCAAAAGCCCACTCAGTCGAAAACGTCACAGGGGTGAGTTGGGTGCCGATTCTATGGTCCTAATGTTGTAATTAAGTTATAATTAATTATTATTTTTTAATTAATTAATTAATTTATTATTTATTTTTAATTTTTAATTTAAATATTAATTAAATTTAAATTTTTTTTAGTATTTTTTCTTATTATTTACATTTAAGTGGTATACGCTGCGGGTGTATATGTGCTGTACGGTGCTCGTGTTTTGTTTACAAACAATTGCCTAGCCTTAGCCTTGGTTTTCGTGCGATAATCCCCAGGTTCATGAATAATATTTTTAACGCATATTCTACTGAACCGCCAAAACATCACATTTCGCCGTTGTCCCTCACTCATTAGAATCCCGTGGATTTCACTCAGTTCGGAGATGTTTAAACAGAGGTCAAACAGAATTTGCAAAGCATTGAACGCGGACTATCAAAATCTGTATGCTGCACTTAATGTACATGTAACAGTTGTGATGAAACTTCTCGGAATAATGAAAACACGGAAACAAAGATGAAACTATAATATTTTTATTTTAATAGTATATATAGTATAGTATTTTATAGTATTTATTCAGTTATAAAACAAAGTATTTTATAGTATTTATTCAGTTATAAAAAAAGAAATTCTGTTAACATGATTTCTATTTATCATTAAAACTTTGTTTATACAATGAATCATATATCATCCATTTTTATTGGTTTTCTAGCAACGCCACCCATCAACCCCACCCATCAGCACCACCCATCAGCACCACCCATCAGCACCACCCATCAGCACCACCCATCAGCACCACCCATCAGCACCACCCACCAACGCCACCCACCAACTCCACACCCATTGGCCAATTAAAAATATATCAAAATAATGCCATACATAATCTCCTCTTTCACAACAAAACCGAAAAACATATTACTGTAAATTGAGTTCTAAACAGAAAGGAACTTTCAAAAAAGTTCCATTAAAATGTAGCATGTCCCTTACGTTAAATGTTCACTAAACCTTAACCTGTCAAAAGAATAAACTTTCATAAACATAAAACAATTGGTTTAGTATTTCAAGAAAACAAAGACAATAATAGGTTGTTTCTTGGGCAAAAACTTGCCATACACCCACTGTCAGTGGCCATTGGCCTACGCATCAACCCAGCCAACCGTTCAAGTGGTAATAATTTTGGTATAGACCCTATGGTAGATCTCCACTGTCAACATGGAACCAAACTTCCAGAGATAACTTATCTGAAACACACGAAAACAGTAACATTTAATTATTGTAGCTAACTATTGTACTATAACTATCTAGCTAATTATTGTACATAACAAACAAGCCACTATAATTTACAATAATATTAACTATGGATACTCAATGCACAGCACAGCCCTACAGATGTTTGGAAAATAACACATATTTTGTACACAATAAAGCAAAGAATAATATCATACATGTATGTTTTTATGACATAAACAATGGCGTTCCAATACTGCTCAATGTCCTGGCTCCAGTGTTGTACTCATGCTTCAGCCTCCGGATGCGGTGTTCGAGATCACGCCATTTTCTTCGCCTGCGTGGAGGAGCTTCCCCTCTCCTGGCGGCTGCAGCGGAGACCTCGACAAGCCTCTGTTCATCCTTGAACTTTCTCAAGAAAACCCGCATGGAAGGGTGGTGTCGGCTCAAACTATTGTTCCATCTGTGGTGGAAACCTAAAATGAAATTTCTCATATTATATCTAAAGTTCAATTATTTATGAAAACATACTTGGGTAATTATAAGCATGATTCTTGAATTTCTGACTCAGACTGTTAATGTGCAGCTGTTTAGCTGGTAGCTTCTAAGAATTAATAAGGGAGGGAGGTTTATTCATCACAAATCATTGAGGGAGGCTAACAAGAAATTAGGACACAAATGAAATGCTAGTTAATACAAAAGTAAAATCTAATCATTTCATTTACATATATATTTTAAATATATAAATTATATTTTTTTGGATGGCCTTATCCTTAATTGCAGAATTTAATTATCATCACCTTTGACGTGATTATTTGTGCGCGTGTCACTATCCCTGTCGAAAACATTCCACAACTGAGCCGGAAACTGTCCATCCAGATAGTTCCTCTGGAGATACTGAATAAAATCCTGAACAGCAGGATAGCGGTTAATGATGCGCTGGGTAGAATTTCTATCTAACAGTAAACGGAAATTGTTCCGCACAAGGGCCAGTGGCAAATACCCTATTGCCATAAATTTGCGGAGCAACTTCCGCACGCGGTATTGTCGTCTGTAGGGTCCAACCAGCCCAAGCTGCTGAATCATCCGCCATGATCGCACTTTGACAGAAGTGGAAATAACAGCCACATGTATTGCTACGTGGCAATTCTGTTTCCACGGCGGTGATGAAGGCCACTTCAAAGTCAGTGATGACCTTCCTTGGCCTAAAGCAATGGCCAGTCAACCGACGGACTTCCTCCTTCAAATGCTGTAATATCTGGCGGTAATCACCAACAGTTCGGCCTTCCATTAATGCAAACGCAAAAGGTAGCACTCTCCCATTGTACATACCATGTACAGTGACAAACTGTTTGTATGGTGCGGGACACGTCTTAAAAGTGCCATCGATGTAGATGTCACGAGATTGCTGCAATTTGCGCAAGTTCGAGTCGGTGGCAAATAGTAATATCTCCTAATCATTGTCCTGATGGCTCAAAAAATTACGGTCATTCCATGTCCTCTTCCATTCTTCTGGTATTTCAACCTCCTCAATTGTTGCAGAAATGGGGGGGTTGAGAGATGCCCTTTTCCGTGTCAGTTTAGACCTCAAGCTGCCAAATGCCGGCTCCTCATCAGGGTTTATGTCGCTTGCCTGTTGCAGAACAGCATTATAAACCCGTTTGACAGGTCTTGACGGGTCAGCTTCGATCTCATGCAACATCCGTTCCCCCAAAGCACTTGCGGCAATAAGTTTTCGCTTAGCTTCATGGTCATGATCACAAACCTGAAAGGAATAAACTTGCGATGCATGAATCATTTCAACAATTTTCGTAATATAATTTGTTATACATGTATGCATGTACAATTTTATACCTAATATAACAAAATGATCTAGAGCACAAGCATTGGACACCTGAGAAATTATGTTTTAACAAATTATTAATAAATAGATAAAATACATGAAATGATGAAGGGCATTCATTTTTATCACATTTGACCTCTGTCTGATAATAAGCCAGTTCGTAGTTAGCCAAGGGGTTGTGCGTCCACAGTACGCTGTGTAAAAGCCACACGGAACTTCTGCCTGGTCACAGGATCCTTCAACTTCCATATTTTTATATGAGGCACAAATTTACGCTTGGGCAGTGACGGAATTTCAACCTTGATGTCACACACCTGCAGGCGATTTTGTGTGGCACACTCCTCGCCGGGTATGGTCTTTACATTGACAATCAACTTGCGCTGATTACAACGGAACAAAATGTAATCGATCTGTGTGGAGATACCACCAGATTGATACGTGACGAGGTGGCACTCGTGCTTCTTGAAGCATGTGTTTCCAACGACTAAGTCATTGACCACTGCAAACTCCAGGATTCTCTCTCCTTCCACGTTCCGCACACCAAGCCCATACCCTCCATGCACCTCCCTGAAGCCAGTTCCATCCCTTCCCACATGACCATTCCAGTCACCACAAGGAATAAGGAGTTCAGATGCTAGGACCTTAGCAGCCGTTGCACGAAGCTAGTCGTAAAACTGGTCCTTCACGTCGCTGAGACCGACTTGTGGAGCGTAGACTGACAGGAACGTCAGCACAGAGCTGCCGACCACCAACCTCAGCAGGATGATCCTGTCCGAAACACGCCGCACCTCAAAACATTCCCAATCCATTCCTCCGCCAGCAACACACCGACACCACCAGTCCCCTTATCATTACCAGACCAGTAGCACTTGTACTTAGCGTTCTTTCCTTTGAATATTATTAGCAGCAATAAAAATTATCTTAACAACCACTGCAGCACAAGTTTGTGAAATAGGCGAAATCCACATGGTAACACAATATATGTATTAAATATTCCACATAACATGTATTAATGTTAATCACCACAAAAGACAATGTCAATGCAATCAAGAGCGGATAATACCTAGAGTGTACAACGGAAAAACGGGAAAATAGTGCTATTTCACGACTACATTATTCTACTT